TATGGGGGGTTCATTTGATTAGACTTTATTGTATTGTCTGTTGCTTTTTGATATCCTTTTTTGTTGTCGTGTTATTTCGGTGGCCCTTGGGGTGGGTTATGGGTGGAGGGGTTCTTTGTTGTTAAGTTTTGTTTCTTGTTTTTCTTCTATAATACCTTTTTATATGTCTGCAAAAATTCAATATAAAAAAAACAACAACGAAAAAAAACATATTATTACACTTAGACTATTTACTAATTAAATTTACCCGTCACAAAAAGCAGAATAAATGTCAAACATGTTGTCATATTCAGTGAGTTGTTGACTCGTGAAGCGCGAACTGGAAAGAACCGACTCCAACGAACGATTCATTCGCTAGACGAGTCGCTTCCCGCGATGGTTAGTTAGTAGCGCGAAGGAGAGTCAGTGTGCTCTTGAGGGGGATAGTCTCGGCGCTCGGATACGGAGAGGGGAGTCTGGATACACATCTGGAAAGAGAGTTTGCGTTCTCTTAAGTGCTCATCATGCCGGTTTTTCACACGAAGACGATAGAGAGTATCCTGGAGCCGGTGGCCCAGCAGATCTCTCATCTGGTCATCATGCATGAGGAGGGAGAGGTGGACGGGAAAGCCATCCCGGATCTCACCGCTCCTGTGGCCGCTGTGCAGGCAGCTGTCAGCAACCTGGTCCGGGTAAGAGCTTCGGGGGTTTTGCTCTCATCTCTAAGCTAAGCGCGAATGCACATGTAAAGCTCTCAGGGGGATGTAAAGTATCGTTGTTTGGTGTTAATGTATCCGCGGAAGTTTCCTGAAGTTCTCTGGCTTTGATCCAAACCGAGTTCCGCCTTTTCCTCTTGGATTTCGCCCTGCCCCCTGAAACCCCGCTGCGCCACGACATGCCATTCAATGCATCCCATATCTGACCAAAAAAAGTGAAACCAGTCGTTCAGCTGATGATTTATGCCAACATTGCATGTTCGCTCCCCTTCAGGAACATGAGGCGAGCTGTCTTGCTCAAGGTTACACAATGAAAGTACACGAATCAATGCTTCACTCTTAAAAAGAAAGGTTTTATTGGCATCTAAAGAAGTCTTAACATCATATTCTACAAGAGGCTCTTCATAGTGGAAAATCTTCATTAAAATGTTTGATGCATCAAGAAAAATGGTTCATTTAACTGTCCGCTGGAAGGTTCTTTGGGGAACCAAAAGTGGTTCTGGTATATATATATATATATTAGTTATAGATTTACAAAAAACTGTATATAAATAATTATATACATATAAAAATAAATAAAAACATTAATTTGAAATATTATGTACATTTAAAATGATTTTAAAAAAATTATTTTAAAAAGTAAATGTATAATATTAATAATTTTAAATATTAACATTTAAATTAATTAATATGCAATTATATTTACAAATAGTACATTCATTATTTTTAACCATAATTACAATAATAAAATAAAATAATAATTATTATTTAAAATGATTTAAAGATCAAAACAGTTTATTTAAAAAGAAATTGTGATATAAACATTTCTGTATTTATAGTATTTATATAAAATAATATATTTAAATTTTAATAAATTAAACATCTGTAATTAATAAAAATTCAAAATTATTTTTGTTGCTTTCAGTTGCGGTGACCTCAAGCCCTAGTTAATTTTTGACCCTGGTTTTCACATTATGACAGATCTGATCTGCTGTCAGTCTCTCCAGTCTTGTGTGTTTAAACAGAGGAAGAGAAGTCTGTGCTGGAGAGATTCTGCAGAAGTGTGTGTGTGTGTGTGTCTCTGTGAGTGTGTGTGTGTGTGTGTGTGTGTGAGTGAGAGTGTGTAAGTGTGAGTGTGTCTCTGTGAGTGTGTGTGTGTGTGTGTGTGAGTGTGTCTCTGTGAGTGTGTGAGTGTGTCTGTGTGCGTGTGAGTGAGAGCGTGTGAGTGTGTCTCTGTGAGTGTGTGTGTGAGTGTGTCTGTGTGCGTGTGAGTGTGTCTCTGTGAGTGTGTGAGTGTGTCTGTGTGCGTGTGCGTGAGAGTGTGTCTGTGTGCGTGAGTGTCTGTGTGTGTGTGTGTGTGTGAGTGAGTGTATGTGTGTGTGTGTGTGTCTGTGTGTATGTGTGCATGTGTGTGAGAGTGTGTCTGTGTGCATGAGTGTGAGTGTGAGTGTGAGTGTGAGTGTGTGTGTGTGTGTGTGCGTGAGTGTGTGTGTGAGTGTGTGTGTGTGTGTGAGTGTGTGTGTGTGTGTGTGTGGTTACCTAAAACAGAAACAAAACCTTCAGAAGCCTGTAAATTCATCAACACACTGCTGCTCTTCAGTTATTCTTAGCAGCTGTCCAGAGTTAACTTTAGACTCCTGAAATAACACGGACAGTGGTTTTTGTTCCTTTTAATCTGACTTGAGTCTGTGTCACAGTAACGTAATATCTACTAAAGCTGAGAAACTGAGAGTTGAGTAAAATTAGGTAATGAGTTGTTTAGACATCTAAAGGTGTCTCAATCTGACTGCATGTGTAAATGTGACCCCACCCTGTCAAACACTTCCTGTCTGTGCAGCTTTAGAGGATGTTGTTTTCTCAGATATTTCACGCCGTTGCGGTTTAAAATGTCACTCGTCTTCGTCTCGGGTTAATCTGAGATTTTCTGAGCACTTTCCAGCATGAGGCTCAATATAGTACGATATAAAAGCTTTGTTCCTCCCACCCTCGTGTTTGAACGCTTCTTGTCTTATTTCTGTTTTCTCCCTCATATATTTCTCATCTTCCTTCCTCTTTGCTTTATTCTTCCTTTATTTATTTATGTGTCATTTCATTTGATTTGTTAGTGGTGTTTAGTGTAGTTGAGATGGGATATCAGAGCTCAGAGTGCTTCATAGAACTTATGTTTTGATCCTGAATGAACTCTAGTGAATTATTCAGAGTGACTCTCCAGGACAGAATGCAGAGACTCCTCAGACAGAGCTCTTTCTGTGAAATGAGAACATTATCAGTCATAAAGAATGACATGAGGCTGCTAATTAAACTGAATAAAAAATAAACATCAGTATTCATTTTTAACAGCCAACCATAATAAAATAAAAATGTATACATATAAAAAGTAATTGTTAAAAAAATTATATTATTTCAAATAAAAGTAAATATATAATATTAATCATTTTAAATATTAGAATATTAATGAATATGCAATTAAAATCTGCAATTATATTTACAAACATAACATTAATTCTTTTTAACCATGTAAGTACAATAATAAAATAAAAATGTAAACATATATAATAAAACGTAATTGTTTGAAAACATTATTTTAAAATAATTAAAAAACAATTAATAAAAAAAATCAAAATAAATGATTTAAAAAGTAATTATGCGATATAAATATTTTTTATATTTATAATATATTTATTTAAAATATATATTTTATAAATATTTTGCAATTATATTTACAAATATTACATAATGAATTAATTTCCTTTTATCCATCTTTTGATCTTGAAGTCAGAAGTCAGTGAGTTTAGGATGTTTTGTATGTTTTGCGTAACCGCACATATTCTGTGGTCAGTGCTGGGAACGTGCGGCTCCTTGTCTGCTTTAGGATCTCTGTCTTGAGTTGTTAGAGGCTGAAGGGTCAGACGCTGGCTGAACATTTCTCAAGACCACACGGACCAAACCTCCTGCCTACACTACAAGAGAAGCGTTTGAAATGAGAGAAATGCGGCTGGATTAGGCAACACTACTGCTGCCGAAGGTCATGAACTCCTTCACTTCTTATTTTAGGAGATTTCTTTTAGAAGAAAGCATTTTATACAGGCACCAAAGGAGAAGGGAGCTGTGTTTATTTACCTTGTTCCAGCTCTAAAAACATGATGGAAGATCAGCGGTTTAATCACAGTGGAGATCTTAGACTTGATTCTCTTTCTAGAAAGCTTCTGCAGGAAGTTGCTTTAGACTGAAATGTGATCTTTCACAGCATCAGCTCAAGCACACGACTTACACGACTCTTACTTTAAACATTCATCAACGCACATGAAAGATACCACAAATCAGTTTTTTGATTATTAAAATTTGATTCAATCATTAAAAGAGAATCCAGAAAAATTAAAGCAGAAAACACAGATTTTGGGAAAGAAATTACATTGATTTCATAGGTCCCTAAAAATGTAATTTTTGTTAAACTGTATACATTTGAATTATTAGTTTGTATAAGTTTAAATTAATTAGACATGCCTTTGATTTCTAAAACTTAATTTAATTTAAAACAGAATCCAGAAAAATTTTAATGGAAAAAAAAAACAATCAAGTGGATTTCACAGGCTCTAAAATGTAGTTTTTGTTAAACTTTTAATCAATTGTTGTTAGATTGCATACGTTTTAATAAATTAGACGTGCTTTTTGATTAATAAAATGTAATTTAACTGTTAAAACAGAATCCAGAAATGAAAATAAATAAATAAAACAGAAATTGTGGAAAAAATTCATAGGGCATTAGAGCAGAGCAGAGCAGAGCAGAGCAGAGCAGAGCAGAGCAGAGCAGAGCAGAGCAGAGCAGAGCAGAGCAGAGCAGAGCAGAGCAGAGCAGAGCAGAGCAGAGCAGAGCAGAGCAGAGCAGAGCAGAGGGTTTTTAGTCACTAAACTGTTCCTCAGCACTCACTCCAGCACAGACTGTGAGGGAAGGTTTCTCATCAGCCTGTAGTCGGGGAAAGCAGTTTAATTACACGCTGAGATAATGTGTCCTAAATAACCCTTTAGGAGGAACGTCAGGTTTGGAAACGAGAGCAGAGCTCTCAGAGTTTTCATATCAATCACTGAGCGTTGTTTGGGTGCCAGATAAATGATTGCTTTTGTATGCGGAAAGGAATGGATTATGTTCTGGTTAGTGAGGATGGCTGTGGTTTATGAGGTTAGTTGAAAGGGTTTACAAACCTGTCGAGCCTGAAATGGTTGGATTGGCGTCAGGATAACTCAGAGTCCAGTTAAAGACTGACTTCTTGTTTCTGTGAAGTGCCTTGACTTCTTTTAGTGCTGGTTATCGACAACTACGTCATGATATGATGCACATGCTTTACAATGTCATAGAGTGCAACAGTAGGTTCAAGAGGTAAAAATCCCATTTGTTTGCTCCATAAAGACATTGATTTAGCCTATATATAACTATAGACAGACGTCACAACAAGTTTATAATCCTAGAGAAGATGTTATCTTAGAAGCGGAAATTGTTGCAAAGAACAGAGCGTTGTCTTCGTGAAGCATTGCGTCACATACTTAGACTGCATGCATGTTTATGTATGATGCAATAAAAAACATAAAGGAATAGCTGAGACTAAAATGAAAATTAGCTGAAAATCTACTCGCCCTCAGGTCATCCAAGATTAGGATGAGTTTGTTTCTTCATCAGATTTGGAGAAATGTAGCATTGCATCAGTGTCTCAGCAATGGATGCTCTGCAGTGAATGGGTGCCGTCAGAATGAGAGTCCAAACAGCTGATAAAAACATCACAATAATCCACAAGTAATCCACAGCACTCCAGTCTATCAGCTAACATCTGGAGAAGACAAAAGCTGAAACAATCCATCTTTAAGATGTCGAAAATGAGTCCATAATCCATAATAACGCTTCCTCCAGTGAAAAGTGCATCTGCTGTTGTCTCTCACATCAAAATCTAGCCACATATTTGTTTAGAGCTGTTTTTGTCTTCTCCAGATGTTAACTGATATTACAATTTCAAATAATGCTTGAAATAATGGAAATGGAATCATTTTGGAATTTAACATTAGTGCAAACAAGATTTATGAGCTTCACCTAAGAGGAATATTTTAGGAAAGAACTATTTAAAATTTTGTTTAGTGGACTTTATAAGACTTGGCATATAGTGGAAGCAATGTAGAATTCATTCATTCATTTAAATTTCTGCATTTGTATTTATTTTAATTAATTTTAATTATTTACATTTTGTATTAATTAATAATGAATTTAATTATTTTAAATTATTTTTGTTTTATTTTAAGTTGAATTATTTTAAATGACTTTTATTTGAATTAATTTTTAATTAATTAATTGTAATGAATTTTAGTTCTTTGGAATTATTTTTGATTTATTTCAATTGATGTCAGTTATTTCAAATATTTTAATTTTTTTTATTTACATTTATTTTAATTAATTAATTGATACATTTTATTATTATTTTTTATTTATTTTAAGTTAAATTATTACAACTTTCTGTTTATTTGAAATTATTTTTTACATTTATTTTAATTAATTAATTTTTACAAATTGTAATTATTTTAAATTATTTTGGATTTATTTTAATAAGTTTATTTTAATTATTTACATTAATTACTTTAATTTATTTCAATTAATGAATGTTTTTACTTTATGTCCTCAGTCTGTATTGTGAAGAACATTCTGGAACTTATGCAATAAATCTCTTTTTGTGTTCCACAGAAAATATAGTGAAAGATTGAAAGGCAGCACTTTCATTTTTGGGTGGACTATCCTTTTATAGCGGTGTAGGATTTGACTAAACCTGTTCTTACCTGTCTGATAGGAACGCTGTAACCTGACAGCAGCGTGTGTGTGTGTGTGTGTGTGTGTTTGTGTGTTGTCTGTGTGTGTGTGTGTTTGTGCTTGTGTGTTGTGTGTGTGTGTGTTTGTGCTTGTGTGTTGTGTGTGTGTGTGTGTGTGTGTGTGTGTGTTTGTGTGTTGTCTGTGTGTGTGTGTGTTTGTGCTTGTGTGTTGTCTGTGTGTGTGTGTGTGTGTGTTGTGTGTTTGTGTGGTGTGTGTGTGTGTTTGTGTGTTGTCTGTGTGTGTGTGTGTTTGTGCTTGTGTGTTGTGTGTGTGTGTGTTGTGTGTTTGTGTGGTGTGTGTGTGTTTGTGCTTGTGTGTTGTCTGTGTGTGTGTTGTGTGTTTGTGTGGTGTGTGTGTGTGTGTTTTAAACACAAACGGCTGGTATGTGAGTGGTGTGAACTGCCAGGCACCCGTCATCGTTTCTATTTTAGCTGAGCAGCTCGTATAGAAGAACATACTGCTTTCTTTTGTGAAATGCAGACAGAGAGCGAGTGAAAAACAGAGAAATGTTCTCTGATCCAACGTCATACGATTCGTCTGAACATGAGGGACCGGAGTCTTATCTAGAGACCAGAATAACACCGAGATGTGAAACCGGACTTGTTTCACATCACATTGCAGAAATAAACTAGTAGACTTGAGTAGGCTACTGCAGGTATATGCTGAGAATGACAGGCCTGGTTATTTGCATCATGTTAAAATCACATCAGTGAGCTAATTTTGTGAGAAACGGTTAAACGTGGCCTTGAGTTTCCGAAGCGAGACCATATTGTCAACCCGCAGATGCTGGAGACCAACCAAACATGAGGTCAGGTGGATGACAGCAGACCTGCTCGTGTAATTATCTGGAATTAAACACTGACTCACAGACGTGGAAATGTTGAGATGACTCATTATGGTCACGCCAAACACACGACCAATGAATCGAGAGCTGTTATTTTCTACTTTGCTTGAGAGACTTAAATCAGTGTAATTATTGACTTGTTTATAAGATGACGTGTAGCTAAAGACACAGATTCACAACCGTGTAGTTGAAATAAATGTCCATTTTATTAAAATAGCATTGCAAATGTGTGCATTGTGGGCAATATAAAGAAAAAATCAATGTAAAAGTGTAGTAAGTTCTGACTGATATGCAGCTACTTTCATGACGGAAACGAATCATTGAATCTGAGCTGAATTGATTCGCTTAAACTAGAAATGGTGAACTATTATATTGAAAGAAATCGAGCTTACTAAGTTAAATTGATTATTTATTTGCTTATTTATTTACTTATTTACATATTTATTTGCTTTTTTTTATTTTCGTGCTTATTTATTCTGAAAAAACATTTTGGAAGCTATGCCATGTAGGCTGTCTTGTTTTGTGTTGCACAGAAGAAATAAAGTCACACATTCTGGAAATTCAACTTACATTCTTGTGCATTAAAATATTGTAATATCTGAAAAAGCAATGCGGCTGCTTACATGAACACCTCTGACACTGAGTGATGAAGGCAACGAATCGCTGAATCTGAGCTGAATCTCTTAAAGACATTTTTAACCGTTTTATTGAAATGAATCGAGCTCGCCAAGTTTAGCAAATGTATTTATTTATTTGCTTGCTTGTTTATTTATTATGAAAAACCTTCTGGAAATGATGCAATAAATTCCTTTTGTGTTGCACCGAAGAAATAAAGTCATATATTCTGGAAATTAAACTTACCATGCTCTTGTTTTTCCGTTCAGATGAGCCTCACGTTTGAGAGTGTGTGATGATGCTGTGTGTGTATAGTATGATTTATACATGTATTTACTCTGTGTTTTGTGTGTGTGTGTTCAATGCAGGTGGGCAAAGAGACGGTTCAGACCACCGAGGATGCCATCATGAGGAGAGACATGCCGCCTGCCTTTATAAAGTAAGACACACACACACACCTTCTGTTGAAGGTTAAGGTCATGGAAGGCATGTTAAGTGTGTGTGGTCCTGTGTGAATAATGGCACTGCACTCTGTTTTGTCTGCATCAGTCTTTAGTTTTAAATGTAAATCTGTGTGCAACAGCAACCTCACAACTCTTCATCTTTTTCTGTATTTTTAAATGCCATGGCTTTGATTCGCATGGAATGCATGAGCTTACAAAATGCACATCTTGAATGCATTGTAAATCACTCTCTCACACACACACACACACACACACACACACACTCTCTCTCTCTCTCACACACACACACTGTCGTGACCTTGCTCTCCTGTCTCTCACTCTCACACACTGTCTCTCACACACACACTGTCGTGACCTTGCTCTCCTGTCTCTCTCACACACACACACACACACTGTCGTGACCTTGCTCTCCTGTCACTCTCTCTCACACACACTCACTGTCGTGACCTTGCTCTCCTGTCTCTCACACACACACACACACACACACACACTCGTGACCTTGCTCTCCTGTCTCTCAACACACACACACACACACACACTCTCTCTCTCTCACACACACCCAGGTTTGTTTTTATGGTTTATGGGGACATTCCATAGGCATAATGTTTTTTATACTGTACAAACCGTATTTTCTATTGCCCTACACCAACCCTACCCCTAAACTTACCCCTTATAGGAAACTTTTAGATTTTCAAAAAAACTCATTCTGAATTATTTATAAGCCTTTTGAATTACAGGGACACTGAAGATGTCCTCATAAATCACCTTCTCGTTGTAATACCTATGTCATACCCATGTTATTCTACAAATTTGTGTCCTCATAAACCACAAACATGCACACCCACACACACACACACACACACACACACTCACTGTCGTGACCTTGCTCTCCTGTCTCTCACTCACACACACACACACACTGTCGTCACCTTGCTCTCCTGTCTCTCACACACACACACACACTCTCTCTCTCTCACACACACACACACACACACACACACACACACACAGTGTCGTGACCTTGCTCTCCTGTCTTTCTCACACACACACACACACACACTCTCTCTCTCTCCTGTCTCACACACACACACACACACACACACACACTCAGGTTTACATTTGTGAAAAGTGGGGACATCCCATAGGCGAAATGGTTTTTATACTGTACAGACCGTATATTCTATTGCCCTACACCAACCCTACCCCTAAACCTACCCCTCACAGGAGACTTTCTGCTATTTCAGATTTTCAATACACTCCATTCTGTGTGATTTATAAGCGTTTTGAAAAGTGGGGACATGGGGTAATGTCCTGAAAAGTCACCTTCTCCTTGTAATACCTATGTTATACCTTTGTCATTATACAAATTTATGTCCTCATTTGTCACAAAAACGCATACACACACACACACACACACACTGTCGTGACCTTGCTCTCCTGTTTCTCACACACACACACACACAGCTGTGGTCTGTCCTGCCACAGAGAAATATGACACCAGTCTCCATTCTGCAACTACAACAACAAAACCCTCCTGCCGACAGTCGGACACAGATGAATTGTGTGTGTGTGTGAGTGAGAGTGTGAAGACTGTGAAAAAGCATGCATGTGGGACTGACAGTATTGAGGAGTGACTAAAGCAAAACTGAAAAATACATTCGATACAGAATCAGAACATGTAATGCATATGATCTGTGCGCACTGAAATTTCATCTTCATTCTTTTGCATCCATTTTTTGCTTGTAAATGTAAACATTAGGTTTTCTGTGATGTTCGACATTGTGTTGTTGCAATTTCTACTTATCTGACACCAAGATGATGTTATCTAGCTGGTTTACATAGATGAGGTTTTGTTAAATTTGCAAAAGTGACTTGCATTGTGTGTATTCATGATTTGAAAATACTGAAAATTGCAAACCAATCAGTAATGATTTGCATTGTCTGCCATTGTTTTCCTGCAAATATGTTTCTGAATTTATGCATTATATGTATATACTTTCCAGATTGCTGATTATTTATTTTTTAGTAAAGTTTTTTTTAAAGGAAAAATTTTAAAAAATTAAATTTCAAATATTTACAATAAAATATTAAAATATTTCTAGGAACTATACATAACTACACTACTGTTAACAAGTTAATAAATTGATCAAAAGTGACAGTAAAGACATTTATAATGTTGCAAAAGATTTCTATTTCAAATAAATGCTGTTCTTCTGAACTTTCTATTCATCTGTGAATCCTGAAAAATAAAATCTCACGGTTTCCACAAAAATATTGGGCAGCACAACTGATTTCAACATTGATAATAATCAGAAATGTTTTTTGAGCAGCAAATCAGCATATTAGATCATGTGACACTGAAGACTGGAGTAATGATGCTGAAAATTCAGCTGCGCATCACAGAAATATATTACAGTTTAATATATATACACATAGAAAACAGCTATTTTAAATTGTAATAAAATTTCAAAATTCTTACTGTATTTTTGATCAAATAAATGCAGCCTTGCTGAGCAGAAGAGTCTTCTAAGATACTGGGTGTTTATAGCTTCAGTATGCAATCAGATGAAGAAAGGCAGTAACTAACACTCTCTCTCTGTTTGGTCTTGTTCTCTGTAGGGTTGAGAACGCGTGCACTAAACTGGTTCAGGCGGCTCAGATGCTGAAGTCCGACCCGTATTCTGTCCAAGCCAGAGATTATCTGATCGACGGGTCCCGCGGGATCCTGTCCGGAACATCCGACCTGCTTCTGACATTCGATGAGGCCGAGGTGTGATGCATTTAAAACCGTTTAATGCATTCATTCCTGTGCGTCTGAGCTTGTGCATCGCTGCTGACAGGACATTTGCTCTTTTCCCTGATCTCAGGTTCGTAAGATCATCCGTGTGTGTAAAGGGATTCTGGAGTATCTGACCGTGGCTGAGGTGGTGGAGTCCATGGAGGACCTGATCACTTACACCAAGAACCTGGGACCAGGTATTTAATGTTAAAAATACATTCAAAACAACATGAGTCATGTTTTATATGTAGCTATGTTAAGCAGGATTTAGACCAATGAGATTTCACTAAGGGCGGGGCTTCACACTGTGATGTAATACAAATAGTTTTGATTATGTGGCTGATCAGGACAAAAACACATGAATTTGGTTGCATGTTTTTTTTTCATATGTTTTTTGTCTATAATTATGTTACTTCCTATATTATTTCCTATTTGTTTGTAATCCCTTCACACTGTGATGTAATACAAATAGTTTTGATTATGTGGCTGATCAGGACAAAAACACATGAATTTGGTTGCATGTTTTTTTTTTCATATGTTTTTTGTCTATAATTATGTTACTTCCTATATTATTTCCTATTTGTTTGTAATCTGTTTCTGATTTGTGTTTGTTTTTTTGGCTTTGTGAAGTGCATTATAGCTGTACACTTTCCAGATTGTAGCATTTTAACTTTTTACAAAAGGGGGAAAAAAGTAAATAATGGTAACAATATTTATAATAAAATATGAAAATATTTATAGGAAATATAAATATAAATAGGCTGCTGTTAAAATATTTAGTACTGTTAAAATGTGTTTTTTTATTATTATTAATGTTTATTCAGCAAGGATGCATTAAATTGATTAAAATCAACACTAAAGACATTTAAAATGTTGCAAAAGATTTCTATTTCAGACAAATGCTGTTCTTTTGAACTTTTTATTCATCAAGTAACCCTGAGTTATCGCTTAATGCTTTGTGTTGCATCTGATTTGTTTATTTACTTTTTTACTTTTTTGTTTGTTTGTTTTGCTTCTATGATTATCTAATGATGTTGCTTCCCGTTGCAATTTTATTTATTTCACACCATTTGCTCATAAACTGTTTCTAATCAGCTTTGTGAAACGCATTATAGCGGAATACTTTCCAGATTGTTGCAGTTTTCATTTTAGTAAAGAAAAAATTAAAATAGAAAATAATATTGAAAATATTTACATTAAAATATTTCTAGGAAATATAAATATCAATACACTACTGTTAAAGTGTTTTATGTAAGAAATAATTTTATTAATCAAGGATGTATTAAATTGATAAATTGACAGTAAAGATATTTATAATGGTACAAAATACTTGCAAATAAATGCTGTTCTTTTGAACTTTCTATTTAACAAATTATCTTGTGTTATCGCTTAATAATGCTTCATGTTGTGCCTATATTTGTTTGTAATTATGCTGCTTATATTTCACTAGATTTGCTCGTCGTTTCTAATTTGTTTTGTTCACATTTATTTTTTTGGCTTTGTAAAGTGATCTTGAGTGGTGTTATCGTAGTATAGCTTGTGTTAATATGCTACTTTTAGACTAAACTGGTCAGTCAGTCTCTGTTCACCAGATAAAAGCGTCACATATCTGACTGTATTTGTGTTCACAGGTATGACGAAGATGGCCAAGATGATTGACGAGCGGCAGCAGGAATTAACTCATCAGGAGCACAGAGTCATGCTGGTCAACTCCATGAACACCGTCAAAGAGCTGCTGCCCGTTCTCATCTCAGGTCTGACCTCTGACCTCTTACATCCAGAGAAATTAATGCTTTTTTTCATCAAGGATGCATTCAATTGCTCTAAACTTACAGTAAAGACATTTATAATGTTACAGAAGTCAAATAAATGCTGTTCTTTTGAGCTTTCTATTCATCTGTGAATCCTGAAAAATAAATGTCTCACGGTTTCCACAAAAATATCGGGCAGCACAGCTGTTTTCAACATAATAATAATAATCAGAAATGTTTCTCGAGCAGCAGATCAGCATATTATACTGATTTCTGAAGATCATGTGACACTGAAGACTGGAGGAATGATGCTGAAAATACAGCTGCGCATCACAGAAATATATTACAGTTTAACAGATATTAACACAGAAAACAGCTATTTCAAATTCACAATTTTTACTGTATTTTTGATCAAATAAATGCAGCCTCTGTGAGCAGAACGTATCTGTTGGTGTCTCACACAGGCATCAAGATCTTCGTAACGACCAGGACGTCTCAGGGTAAAGGTGTGGAGGAGGCCCTGAAGAACAGGAACTTCACCGTGGAGAAGATGAGCGCAGAAATCATTGAAATCATCCGCGTGCTGCAGCTCACGTCGTGGGACGAGGACGCCTGGGCCAGTAAGGTGTGTGTGAGAGGGCAAAGGTCACGGTGTCTTCATGTGCATGCAGGATAAACCCGCCTCACAAACGTACAAGACGCAGTTTACTGTCACGCATGCACGAGTCTGTGACGTTATAATATTTATTACGCATATTATACATCGTGCATGCATGTGCATTCTAGTGTTGGTTTGAACATGCAAAAGTATTTTTAAATCTAGATTTGAAGGGTGAAGTGTGTGATATGAACTACCCTGTCCCCGTTTGGTGTTTGCAAATACAGGTGTGTTTGTGTGTGTGTTTGTTGAGCTGGTTTCAGGTTTTTTGATTGTGGAGTAAATCCTGAGATTTTGGCTGGAAAGGGCATGTGCAAACTATAACAAGTTCTTCTAGATCACTTTTGGACTAAAGATACGTTGGAATTGAAGTTTGTTGCCTCAAATGTTTGTTGCTTTTTGCTCACTTGCAAGAGTAAAAGTGATGCGGTTTAACAGTTTTGGGAATGAGTGTGCCGTCGGAAGCTGCAGACACTGAATCTGGCTGATGCGTTACCGCACGCATGGAAATATCAGCATAGCACAGGTTTCAAAGCTTCTGGAATCAGAATGAATCAGTCTCACAAAAACATTCCACCCCCAAAAAAAATCCAAAGAAAGAATATATGTCTTAAAAGAAATGGAAGAATGTTTTCGGACTATCAAGATTTTATGCATTGTAATCACCATGACAATTATGCAGATTTTCATTACTGTTATGTGGTTAACAAATATTATTCAATTATTTTAATTGAATTAAAGAGCATTTTTATTACTATAATTAGTGTGGGCATTTTAGTTTTTTTGTAGATCTAATATATATTTATTTGATATATTTTTACAGTAAAGTGAATTTGTTTCAATTAAAATAAAATGCAAAATAATGTAAATGTGAGTATTATAAATATATTTCATATACATAAAAATAATAAGATTTTATGCATTGTAACAACTAATTATGACAATTAAGCAACCCCCCCTCAAATTTCCATTACTGTTATGTGGGGGAAAAAAAAATAATTGTAGTTTTTTTGTAATTATAATTATCATTTTTATATAATTGTTTACAGTAAAGTGAATCTATTTAAATTTAAAATAAAGGGTGATTTATTTGTATTACACAATATGCAGGGGAAATATGTTGCAAATGTGAATATAATAATTATATTTCATATAAATCTATAAAAAAAAAAATATATATATATATATATATATATATACACACACACACACAATGGCAGTTCTTGACCGTTCTAAAATACTTTATTTTCTTAATAATACAATTTCTCATTTTTGTTTATAATTTTAGGGATGAAATCTCGAGGTTTTGTGAGATCGAGTCGTGTGTTTTGGGGAAGTGAGTGTTTGAGGTTGAAGGTTAAAGCTTTCAGATGTGGCTTCAGCGAGAGCTGGACTTGTGTTTGTGCATTATCAGTGTTTTTATTTATTGGTTTGTTTGCTCTTGTCTCTCAGTGGATCTTTTCACTCGTTCTTGTTCAAATGTGTGCTCTGTTTCTCCTCTCTGGGTTTGTCTTCCTCCCTGTAGAAGGTAAGGATCTGTGCTCTCTCTCTCGCTGTGTGTTAGCAGGTTTGCGCTCGGCCTGATGGGATTTGGAGTGAATTGATGGGTGCTGGACGTTTGTCCCGTCGCTCGTGTGTGATGCTAACAGAATGGAGCTGCAGTTTGATTAGACGATTTAATTCAATTCAAGTCAAGTTTATTTGTATAGCGCTTTTCACGATACAAAGCAGCTTTACAGATAAGTTTCTACTACATTATATTTAGCAGTAGCTTATCAGTGGTGACTATGTGGAGACGATCTCACATGTTTTGCTTTTCGTTTCATAATCGCCATCACAGAAATAAAAAAGTTTCCTTTTCCAGCATCAAGTCATCTAAAAAAATGAAAAGAAATAATAAAATAATGAGTATCTAGGAATGCAGGGACTTAAAAATTATTTTTTATTTTTGAATTATTTTGTTATAGGTGATAACCAATATGGTGGTTGTTTATGCTCACCAAGGATGATCAAAAATACAGTAAAATTGTGAAATATTTGTACTATTTAAAACAGCTGTTTTCTATGTGAGTATCTGTTAAACTGTAATGTATTTCTGTGATGCGCAGCTGTATTTTCAGCATCATTCCTCCAGTCTTCAGTGTCACATGATCTTCAGAAATCAGTATAATATGCTGATCTGCTGCTCGAGAAACATTTCTGATTATTATCAATGTTGAAAACCGTTGTGCTGCACAATATTTCTGTGGAAACTGTGATACATTTTATTTTTCAGGATTCACAGACGAACAGAAAGTTAAAAGAACAGCATTTATTTGAAACAGAAATCTTTTACTGCCAATTTTGATCATTTTAATGCATCCTTTTTGAATAAAAATATTGCTTTAAAATATACTATTTATTAAAAATATATATATAATGTTAAAATAATTTATTAACAAAATTGTTTTTTATATAAATTTAAAGAATTAAAAATATATAATGTGCAGCAAAAATGATAACTACTTTACACGATTGAACTTTTGATGCTCATTAAAAAAGAAAAAGGTCAATAATATAGTATAAACTGAGGATTTAATGCTGGAGAAGGAAGCAGAGGTTTGTCAGGGCCGCTGGACTCACTGATGGCTCCGTTTAATGTTTAACATGTCTCTGTCCTGCTGTAATGTGAGCAGTGTGTGTGTGTGTTTAATCTGGTATTGCTCTGCGATCCTGTTTTCTGAAAACTGTGTGTGATTGTGTGTGTGTGTGTGTGTGTGTGTGTGTGTGTGTGTGTGTGAATGCAGGCTCTCATCACTGCAACTTTAATAATAATTTAAAACTCTAATGTGGTCAGAATGATGTGTGAATAGCCTGAGCTGATCAGCTTTGGTCATTTCCTGTCTTCACTCCTCCTCCACATCATTTCCTGTCTTCTCTTTGTACCTGTTAAAAAAGCTGCTTAAACCAGCCCAAGGTGGTTTTCCGGTCTCAGCTGGTTTATGTGGTCTCTCAGCCCACAATCCCTCTAAAAGACCAGCTTGATGGCTTGCTGAGACCAGAAAACCGACCTTAGACTGGTTTAAGAATTTTTTTTTAAGCAGGGTACAATCAATAAATGTGACTACAAACTAAAAAATGAACCTAGACACAGACGATACATAGTCCAGGCTTAAGAAGAGCCTAAGGCAGCGAGTCTGACAGATGTTTCATCATGAGAGGAACTGTGAGGTTTGTGGGTTCGAGTCTGACGCTGCAGAAGTGTTAAAAGGCTCATCTCTGAGGAAACTGATCTGCTGTGATGCTTCGACAGAAAAAATGTTGCACCATCAGCCTCAGAATCACTCAATAAATCACACAGAATATTTGTGTGTGCTTAATTACACATTGTGTGTGTGTGTGTGTATGTGTGTCTCTCTCTGTATGTGTGTGTGTGTGTGTGTGTGTGTGTGTTATCTCCTGTGATGACAAACCGTGAGTCCTCTTTAGGAAACAGCAGCTGACAACTCTCTTAACCAAAAAAGGTCATACTACAAACTCTCTCTGTCTCTCGCTCTCTCTGTTCAGTTCACTTTCAGCTAATTTTATTAAATTCATTTCAGTTCAGTTTGCTTATTATTAATTAACAGTCAATGCTTTTGCAAGCTGTCACATTTGAACATAAACATTTATCCTCAGTAACAACTACTACATTTACACAGCAAGTCAAAGATTATTTTATTTTATTTAAATGTAATAATTTTTTTCAATTATAAATTAGCTTTTAATGTAACTTAATTACAAATAATGTCATTTAATATTTTATTTTGAATTTTGATTATGTAATGTATTATTATAATTTCATTATAATGTATTTACTTACATTGATTAAAATATAATTATATAAATACTAATATATAAATATTAATATTATTTTTTAAATTGTATTTCTAGTAGATTTAGAATTTATATGTATAATACTTAAAAATATAAGGCACTTGTCACTGGTCAACTTCCATCATCTTCGCACTAAAGATAAGAAAAGCACACAATGTGAGCTAAATGCCAGATGTTGAGCTAAATTGACATAATTGCATTAACTGTGATCTGACTGAAGTCACATTATCAAAAACCAGGAATGACATATGACACCAACCCAGATCACAATTAAAAAGGATATTTCTGTTCACTCTGTCATTCAAATACAGATCCGTTGCATGTGAGTGGAAATTATTGGATTTGTTTATGAATGCAGACTGAGAGGTTTCATTAAAAAAAAATCAAATTTGATTAAACTAATTAATATATATATATTTAATTTATCTAATCTTATCTAATTAATATTAATTATTGAATTTATTATTTGAATTTCTTGTAATGTTGTTGTAATCTGTGTCACACTTGAGTGGAAAATATGGGATTTGTGTATGAATGCAGAGAAGTTCAGTGAGGTCATATCTATTAATAAATCACACAGACAACTGACAAAATAACTACACACAGACACACATACACAGACACACACACTCACACACACACACACACTCACTCACTCACACACACACACACACAGACACACTCAGACACAGACACACTCAGACACAGACACACTCAGACACAGACACACTCAGACACAGACACACTCAGACACAGACACACTCAGACACAGACACACTCAGACACAGACACACTCAGACACAGACACACTCAGACACAGACACACTCAGACACAGACACACTCAGACACAGACACACTCAGACACAGACACACTCAGACACAGACACACTCAGACACAGACACACTCAGACACAGACACACTCAGACACAGACACACTCAGACACAGACACACTCAGACACAGACACACTCAGACACAGACACACTCAGACACAGACACACTCAGACACAGACACACTCAGACACAGACACACTCAGACACAGACACACTCAGACACAGACACACTCAGACACAGACACACTCAGACACAGACACACTCAGACACAGACACACTCAGACACAGACACACTCAGACACAGACACACTCAGACACAGACACACTCAGACACAGACACACTCAGACACAGACACACTCAGACACAGACACACTCAGACACAGACACAGACACACACACAGACACACACAGACACAGACACACACACACACACACACACACAGATGCTACAGAACATCATCAGAGCCCAGAAGAGTCATCAGGACGTCCTGATGTGAGATGTAATGTGTCTGTTGAGTTTATCTGATGCAGGACTGTGTGTTTTATTTTGTGGACATGGTTTGCAGGACACAGAGGCTATGAAGAGAGCGCTGGCTCTGATCGACTCCAAAATGGCCCAAGCCAAGAACTGGCTCCGAGACCCACACGCCCAGCCAGGTACTTCCCGGAAAAACGTCTGATAAAATAATCAGAGAAAAAAGAGGTTGAAAATCATGTTTGCTGATGCTGTGCCGCTGCAGGTGACCCGGGCGAACAGGCCATCCGTCAGATTCTGGATGAAGCGGGTAAAGTTGGCGAGCTCTGCGCTGGGAAAGAGAGACGAGACATCGTGGGAACGGCCAAAACACTTGGACAACTTACTGAGCAGGTGTCCGAGCTGCGGGCCAGGTACTGAACTCCAGATATTTTATTTTACTTTACTTTATTTTAAATATTTGAATTTTTTTATTTACTGTAAACCAAGGTTGAAATGTGTGTGTGTGTGTGTGTATATATTTATATATATATATATATATATATGATTGTATAATTATATATATGAATGTATAATATATGATGGCGTATTGATTAATGTATTTTTATATACATTTATAAACATTATATACAATACAGTTGTAATATCTGTGTTGATCGATCACTGTCAGTGATAGGTCACCCAAACAACCGTTTACGTCTGAGAAAACCTGACTCATAGATCACATCAGGTTTTCTTCCCGGTCGTCTGATTAAAAGCAGCGGTCCGATATTACCCATAATCCTCGTAAACCCCATTTTCTATCTCTGCTGGGAAATTGCTGTGCTGCTCATGTCTAAATCTAGACTTTTTAATTAAAAATAATATAAAATATGTATGCTTGAATATTTTTTAAAATTAAAATATTAAAATATTTACGTTGAAATGTTATGATAAATCGTATTCAAAATTTTTGTTATTCAATATTTGTTTTTGATTTTTAGAAAAAAAGAATACTGACATTTATAATTAAGTATTTTTATTTATCAAAGATAATATAAAAAATATTTTAATAAAAAATATTGAAAATGGTTATTTCTATATTGTTTATTAAATATAATATTAAAATATTTACAGTAATTTTTTATCAAACAATAGTAAAAGTATGTGTAAATATTTAAATAAAATATAATGTAAAAATAATTAGGTTGAAGTACTTTGTTTATCAAAGATAATATAAAAATATTTACATTTAAAAAGTTTTTTGGCAAAAATAAAATATTTAATAAAATAATATTAAATATATTTAAGTATTTTTATATTAAATAATATTTAAGCAATTGCTCAAGTATTGTTTATGATAATTGTTAAAATATTAATTAATTTGTTTGACAGAAATAAGAAATATAATAAATAGTTATAAAGATTTATTCCTATATTGTTTATCAAAAATTATTTTAAAATATTTACATTTAAAGTTTTTTTTAGCTAAATTAATGTTTAAAATGTCTATATATATTTGTATTAATAATAAAAAATATTTAACTCTATAATATTAAAATATTTGTTTAAAAATTGTTTCAAAAATGATATTAAAAGTACGCATGTTAAAATTTGTATTTGTACATGTCAAAGTAATATAAAAATATTTACATTTAATATTTTATACAATTTAATTTGTATGCTGCACGGTTTAAAGCGATTCAGTTGCATTCTGTCTCTAGTGTGTGGAGGGAATTTCGTCAGAGACACACCACCAGAAGTTCATCCACCGTCTGTTTTCTTGAAGCTTGCTATGTTTGTGACGTGTGAAGTGTTTGACGTGTGTGTCCTGCGCAGGGGTCAGGGAGCGAGTCCGGTGGCCATGCAGAAAGCGCAGCAGGTGTCTCAGGGTCTGGACGTCCTGACGGGGAAAGTGGAAAATGCGGCGCGTAAACTGGAGGCCATGACCGGCTCCAAACAAGCCATCGCCAAGAGGATCGACGCCGCTCAGGTGAGCCTGCTGCTTGTGTTCGGTCTGGACCAATCACACTCCGGTCTGAGCAGTGTTTTGAGTGCGCTCGTGTTTTGTGAACGGCAGAGCTGGCTGGCGGATCCTCACGGCGGTCCGGAGGGAGAGGAGAACATCAGGGCTCTTCTGGGAGAATCCAGGAAGATCGCGGATCTCTGCGAAGATCCCAAGGAGCGAGAGGACATCCTGCGCAGCATGGGCGAGATCGCCGGCCTCACCGCCAAACTCTCCGAGCTCAAGAGAGCGTACGTATCTATTAACGTCTCCACTAGGGATGGGCGGTATGGGCTTGAAAAAATATATCACAATATTTCTGGTATTTATTGCGATAGCGATATCAATAACGATAATTCATGGAATCCTGTTTTCTTTAGAGAGAAGTATTATCTTTCCTATTTTTACCCAAAATAGGCTGTTGTGAGCATTACTGAGTACACACGTAATGTAATGAGTGTTAATTCATACTGGAAGCCGGAGGGCGCTCTTGTGCAGAAACTCCACATGCATCATAGAAGTAATATAATAATAATATTGCTGTCATGCATTTCCCAATTTAAATTAAATATTTAAATAATAATGTGTTTGTTTGTGTGCGTGCGTGTGTGTGTGCGTGTGTATGGGGTGTGATAACTGAACTTACCTCATATGTGTGTGTGTGTGTGTGCGTGCGTGCATGTGCGCGTGTGTGTACGCGCGTGTGTGTGTGTATACACATACAAATCTAGGATGGCTTTTTTTAATAAAAAAATAAAAGATTTTGCCTAGTCCTGCTTGGATGTGTCTTTAGTGGATCATGTGATCCAGAATAATGTAGTTTCAATTCTAAATGATCTAATACTAGATCTAATTGGATCAGTTCTAAATGATCTAAAATTAATGATCTCTCTCTCTGGTGTGTGTTTTTAGAGGTAAGGGCGACACTCCTGAGGCTCGAGCGCTAGCGAAGCAGATCGCCACATCTCTGCAGAACCTCCAGTCCAAAACCAGCAAAGCGGTGGCCAACACTCGTCCGGCCAAAGCGGCCGTTCACCTGGAGGGGAAGATGGAGCAGGCGCAGAGATGGATCGACAACCCCTCGCTGGAGGACAGCGGCGTCGGTGCGGCTCTCCTCCTGCTCTCTCTCTCTCTCTCTCTCTCTCTCTCTCTCTCTCTCTCCTCACACTCCGTCAGTGCTGACCTCTTCACGTGTGTGTGTGTGCAGGTCAGGCTGCGATCCGTGGGCTGCTGGCCGAGGGCCGGCGTCTGGCCAATGCTCTGCCGGCGTCGCAGAGGCAGGATCTGCTGGGTAAGTGTGAGGAGGTGGAGCACCTGATGGGGCAGTTAGCCGAGCTGGCGGCCCGCGGGGAGGGAGATGGTCCTCAGGCCCGTGCCATCGCTCAGCACCTACAGGACACACTCAAGGTCAGACGATAGGTGATAGAGGTCATGTGACGTATATGACCCTGGAGCACAAAAGCAGTCATAAGTAGCACAGGTATATTCGTAGCAATAGCCAAAAATACATTATTTGGGTCAAAATGATAAATTTCTCTTTTATGCCAAAAATCATTAGGATATTAAGTAAAGATCATGTTCCATGAAGATATTTTGTAAATGTCCTACTGTAAATATATCAAAACTTAATGTTTGATTAGTAATATGCATTGCTAAGAACTTCATTTGGACAACTTTAAAGGTGATTTTCTCAATATATAGATTTTTTTGCACCCTCAGATTCCAGATTTTCTAATAGTTGTATCTCAGCCAAATATTGTTCTATCCTAACAAACCATACATCAATGGAAAGCTATTTATTCAGCTTTCAGATGATGTATAAATCACAATTTCAAAAAATTGACCCTTATGACTGGTTTTGTGGTCCAGGGTCACATATGTACACTCTTTTACTTGCAATGATGAACTTCCTCCCCGGTTCAGCCAGACCTTCAGAAACAACATTCAGAAATATTCTGACTTCACAACCATGAGCTCTTTAGCATATGACTGCTATCATTTACATATCAGCACATATTCAGTTTTTAATGACTTGACTTCCCTGGTAAATGATAGTATGAACTATACCTGAGGTTAGTCAGTCAGGACTGTTTTAGTATTATTTATATACTGTTAAAGTATTGATTAATAATAAGCTTAAGCTTTAATTTTTGTTGTTTTCTTTTACTTTTTTAATGTCTTTTAATTATTTTCTTTGTACTAACTTTCTTCTAATATTCTGTTTTTAATTAATAATAAAAATAATAATTATTATTATTATAAATAATAGTTATTCTGTAATTTGTTTTTGTTTCAGTTTTAGTAATTTTAGTACTTCCACTTCAGCTTATTTTATTTCAGTTATTTGCCAAGGCAACATTTCTAATTTCCAGTTACATTTTTTTTGTTTTTCATAATAAATATTTCATATTAAATTAAATATTTAGATTTTTATTTCACTTAACAAAATTATTTTAATAACAATAGTAATTCTATTTTCTTTTCATATTAGTTTTGTAGTTTTTGTGTGCACTTGTCATATTTTGTAATAACTTTCTTCTAATAATTATTGTTTGTAATTATTAATATAAATAATTATTATTTTATCATTTGTATTGATTTCAGTTTTTGTAATTTTAGTACTTCAACTTATTTTATTTCAGTTATATTTAAGTTTTTAAACAACTTAAATATAACTATTTAAAGAAACTATTTATTCAAGTTATCATATAAACATATTATATAACATTTTTATTTTATTTCATATTAAATAGAATATTTAGTTAGTTAATATTAGGTTTTATTTCAGTTAACAAAAAAAAAAGCAGAAAATTATCATGAAAAACTAAATTATGGTTAAGAAACCTTGACTAAATTTAAAATGGACTTCTGTAATGTACATGCAAATACACAACTATCACTATTTATTTAAACAAATGCGATAAATGCATGCATGAAACAAATAAGTGCACACAAACTTCGGGTTATATTTAATATCACACATGCACAATGCTACAGTAAAGCACTCCACCTGCTGGTGAGTGAATCATGTTAGATAAATGCATTACCTTTAAAATGTTTGAGGTCAGCCAGAAATGAATAATTTTATTCATCAAGGATGCATTAAATTGATCAAAGTGACAGTAAAGACATTTATAATGTTGCAAAAGATTTCTATTTCAAATAAATGCTGTTCTTCTGAATCATCTGTGAATCCTGAAAAATAAAATGTATCACAGTTTCCATTAAATATTGTGCAGCACAACTGTTTTCAACATTGATAATAATCAGAAATGTTTCTTGAGCAGCAGATCAGCATATTATACTGATTTCTGAAGATCATGTGACGCTGAAGACTGGAGGAATGATGCTGAAAATACAGCTGCACATCACAGAAATAAATTAAACTTTAACAGAGATTCACATAGAAAACAGCTATTTTAAATTGTAATAATATTTCAAATTTTCCCTGTATTTTTGATCAAATAAATGCAGCCTTGGTGAGCAGAAGATACTCCTTCAAAAACAAACGTGTGTTTGTGTGTTTGTGGCAGGAGCTGAAGGGTAAGATGCAGGAAGCCATGACTCAGGAGGTGTCTGATATCTTCAGTGACACGACTACGCCGGTCAAACTGCTGGCGGTGGCAGCCACGGCTCCTCCAGACACGTATTTTTGATCAAATAAATGCAGCCTTGGTGAGCAGAAGATACTCCTTCAAAAACAAACGTGTGTTTGTGTGTTTGTGGCAGGAGCTGAAGGGTAAGATGCAGGAAGCCATGACTCAGGAGGTGTCTGATATCTTCAGTGACACGACTACGCCGGTCAAACTGCTGGCGGTGGCAGCCACGGCTCCTCCAGACACGCCCAACAGAGAGAAGGTGCCACACACACACACACACACACACACTGATGCTGGAGCAGACCGTGTTCCTCTGTGATTGATCATGTGTGTGTGATCAGGTGTTCGAGGAGCGGGCTGCAAACTTTGAGAATCACGCGGGTCGTCTGGGAGCCACGGCGGAGAAAGCGGCCGCAGTCGGCACGGCCAACAAGAGCACGGTGGAGGGAATCCAGACGGCCGTCAAATCAGCCCGAGATCTGACGCCTCAGGTAACCAACACCAGCCACACACACACCACTGAAGCGCAGTCAACGCTGACTGTACTTGTGTGACTTTAATCTGTTTTTTATCTTCAGGTCGTCTCTGCAGCTCGGATCCTCCTGAAGAATCCTGGAAACCAGGCGGCTTACGAACACTTTGAGACCATGAAGAATCAGTGGATCGACAATGTCGAGAAAATGACGGGTGACAAATTTGAACTATGACATCAGCTCTATATATCTGATGTTAATATTTGAGATTTAATTTTTTTAATTTTTTTTTTTAATTTTTTTTAATTTTTTTAATTTTTTTTTCAATATTGTTTTATTGTTTTATTTTATGTAGTTCTATTTTTATTTCATTTTACATTTTTGTTATTTAGACAGGATGCTATCTATCTATCTATGTAGTGCATTTATTTTTACTTACTGAATTTTAATTAATATTTGCTTTTCATTTAATATTATTTTATTTTATTTTTAATCTATTTAAAATCATGTTTTTTTAAGATTTATTTATTGTCATCGATCTATCGCTTATATTTGTTTGTATTTATTTTATTTATTTTATTTTATACCGTTTTATTTTATTTTACATATTTTTTAAGTTTATTTAATATTTTTATTTCCTTTTACTTTAAGTAAATATATTTTTATGTCAGACAGGATGCTATCTATTGATCTATGTAAAGTATTTATTTTTACTTATTTAATTTTAATTCAGATTTTATTTTAATTTTTTTACTTTACTTTTTTTTTATTAATTAATTAATACATTTTATTTAATTTTGTTATTTTCAGTAAATATATTTTTATGTCAGACAGGATCTAATGTCTTTATATAATTTGTATATTGCTTTATTTTTTGTTTTGTTTTATTTAACATTTTATTTTTTTATATTGTACTTTATTTTATTGCCAGTAATTATCAGACCGGGTGCCAGCCGTACTTGATCCACAAATGGTTATTTTACCCAGAAAACTAGCAAAGAGTGAAGAAAAAATTAGTTACAGTATTTGACAAAGATCAAAACAAATTAGAAAACTATAATGTGGAAAAAAATACAGTAAAAATAGGTTGAAATCACAATGTTTGTCTGAGTAGTTCTTTCTGAATAGGGACAATGTTTACTGTTGTTTTCAATTTTCAGAAATCATCTACAGTACAATGAACAAATCCCGACTCTCTCTCTGTCTCTCAGGTCTGGTGGATGAAGCGATCGACACCAAGTCTCTGCTGGATGCATCAGAAGAAGCCATTAAGAAAGATCTGGACAAGTGTCAGGTAGCTATGGCCAATCACCAGCCTCAGATGCTGGTCGCCGGGGCAACCAGCATCGCCCGGCGAGCCAATCGGATCCTGCTGGTGGCGAAGCGAGAGGTGGAGAACTCAGAGGACCCCAAGTTCAGAGAGACCGTGAAAGCGGCGTCTGATGAGCTCAGCAGAACCATCTCACCGATGGTCATGGATGCCAAAGCCGTGGCCGCCAACATACAGGACCAAGGTGAGACACACAGAAAGACGTTAGCTGCATAGCAACACCCTAGCAACCATCCACAGTACCCAGCATCATGAGATTTTCTAGTGCACTTCTAAAGATCTGGGTGAAGAGTGGTTGGTTGAAAGTAGAGCTGCACATTATGGGGAAAATAACTCATTGTGATTTTTCTGATTAAAAATCGTGTTTTCAATTTAAAATATTGAACTTTGCAAGTTGGCCAAAACTTTAGTGATTTATAAATAAATATTAAAGTATATAAAAGTATTAATATTTTTTAACTGGGTGGATTTTTATCATTATAGGGTGGTTGTGTACACACACTGCCAACACACATTTACAGTGGGTAAAATAAGTATTGAACACATTCCATTTTATTACATGTAACTTAAAGGTGCACTAAGCAAGTTTTGCCAAACGGTGTTGATATTTGAAAGCACCAAAACAAACGCCCACACCCCAACAGGACCTCGCCCCTATTTTGAAATCTCCGCCCCACACGCATACGTATGATATTTACACAGGACCTTGCCTGATTGTAACCCTTCTTTTTAATGTTTTGTTTCTCTGATATTTTCCTCTTTTCTTATCTGCCATCTCTCTCTATCTGTAGTCGATCTGCTAATATCCGTCCTGTGCACTCAAATTGAGCGCTCTCTTCTCTCTATCATTACAAGACACGCCCCCTTACTGCTGATTGGCTACAAGTGTGTTTTGGGACTCTGTCCGACACTGTGGTCAAAAGCGGTTTTCAAAAATCACTTAGTGTACCTTTAATTTCTGAACTTATTTGTTTTGCTTTATTTGTATGTATGGATTAGTTGAACATTTCAACAGCACCAGAAATATATTTACTGAGAAAAATGGCAACGTGTTCAATACTTATTTTACCCGCTGTATGTTCAAACCCCTTTAAACACCCAATACTGCTTCTCCTTCAGATCAGCGACACCGCCGCTCCTCCCAAACCGCCCCTGCCGGAGGGTGAGGTGCCTCCTCCCAGACCTCCGCCGCCGGAGGAGAAGGACGAAGAGTTCCCGGAGCAGCAGGCCGGAGAGATGGTCAGCGAGCCCATGATGGTGGCCGCGAGGCAGCTGCACGACGAGGCCCGCAAGTGGTCCAGCAAGGTGAGTCTGCTCGAGTCTGCCGGTTGGGTTTGGGTTGGTTTGTGCTGACGAGCGGGATCTTAAACGATGGTTTGTTGCAGGGTAATGACATCATCGGAGCCGCCAAGCGCATGGCTCTGCTGATGGCCGAGATGTCTCGACTGGTCCGGGGCGTCACTGGGAATAAGAGGGCGCTCATCCAGTGCGCCAAAGACATCGCCAAAGCCTCAGACGAGGTCACGCGCCTCGCCAAAGAGGTCGCCAAGCAGTGCACAGACAAACGCATACGAACCAACTTACTGCAGGTGAGAAGAGCAAAGCGTTGGTTAAGATGAAGTCCATAACAGCTGATGTGTTTGGGGTTTGAGATTTATTTTATTTTATTATATTTATTATAAAAAAAATAGTAGGCTAAATCGTGTGCACGATTTACTATTTCGTTCTCTCAGTTTGCTAAATCATGCACATGATTTATAAATCGAGAGAACGAATTAGTAAATTGTGCGCACGATTTAGCAAATCGAGGGAACGAAATAGTAATCGTGTGCATGTTTTAGTACATTTACAAATTAGTAAATCGCGCGCACCATTTATTTATTTTTTCTTGAATGTTATGTGCGGGGCTCCGTAATTTTATGTTATTTTATTTTATTTATTCAGTAGTTATCTTTGTTAGACAGGATGCCAGCAGTACTTGATCCACTTTTTTTTTTTTTAAGCTAGCAAAAAAAACTCAAAAGCAAACCAAACTGAGACCAGATGGAAGATATTGGAATACATTGTTTCATTTTGCTGTTATTTTTTAGTACTGCATTATTTGGGGGAAATATTTTTCTTATAAAAATGGAGATTGCAGTTGCTGTATAAAATTCAATAATAATATAAACCCTCTAGTTTGCTGTGTTTGTTTGCAGGGCTGCAAATTTTGACACAAAATTTAGTTTATATATACTGTATATATATATATATATATATATATATATATATATATATATATTAGGGCTGCATGATAAATCGCACGATATTTAATGCGCATCTCGTCAGTAAAGCCGGGTTTTCAGCGGTAAATCTCTACACGTGCGTGCTTTCACGTGGAGCAGCATTTACTACACAGAGCCGTTGTTCACAGACAAGGTGCGCAAAATATGATCGTGGTTTTGCGCAGCTTGTCTGTGAACAACGGCTCTGTGAAGTAAATGCTGCTCCACGTGAAAGCATTACAGAACCGGCTTTACTGACGAGATGCGCATTAAATATCGTGCGATATTTATCGTGCAGCCCTATAAGCGATTAAAATTTTTTTATTGAATTAATTATATGATGTGGCGATTAATTAATCAAATTAATCGCAAATTAATCACACATCAAATTAAAATGACTCCCAAAAGATAATTTAAAGTCATTGTTGTGTAAAGCATCAAACAGACATTACAAAAAGTAGCTTCAGCAAGAAATATTTTGTTTGATCAAATTTATTACATATACTCTTTTGGACCATGAGGGTGAGTAAATGATGACACAATTGTCATTTTTGGGTGGGTGAACTATACCTTTAATAATTAATTTTATTATTATTACTATGGAAATATTAAATTATTTATTTAATGAAATGATACTTTAAATAATAAACTAAAACTGCCTAGGTGGGGGTAAATGTCTTAATGATTAAGTAATAATATAATAATAATAAAGTGATAATTATATATATATAAACTGTAATTTTACAGTTGCACTATTAAATAAAATTAATATTATTAATTATATTATTGTTATTGTTTTTATTATGATGATTACTATTGCTAAAATTATTAAATTATACTATTGTAATATTTCACTGTAAAATTAAAAAAATCTGAAAAATAATACATTATGAATAATATACATTTTTACAGTACAAGAGTACAACTGTAAAATTGCAATGATTTCTTCATTTACAAACGATAAACCTTGCTAGCTTTTGGGGGATTCCTTAAAATCACTCTATTCCCCAAAAAGATTTGTTTACTGAGTCGTTTAGTGCTTCTTTTGGTGGCATTTTTACACCCCTTTCAACAAGATTCACATCAGTTCATTCAGAATCAGATCGTTCAGTCTCAAAACATGGATTCATTCGTGAAGCAGATGCATTTGTTCAATAGGTCCAACCAATGAGGTTGTGAAGGAGCATGTGTTCAAATGCAGTTTTCTTGTATTTATTTCCTGTTTTTTAGTGAACGAAAAATTATATGCATGCTTGAAAATGAGTGAGAATGCTGACTTGTCACTACTATAACAGGTAAAATGGTGCAAACACAACTTTTTGGACTAGGGACAGTGTAGTGGATGCAAAGACAACTGGTTATATTTCTACTTTTTGACTGTTCCTGTAAAAATGACTCTTGAGTGTGAAAACACCCATTTTGAAGGACGTTTTCATGTGTTTGTGTGTCTTTCTGCAGGTGTGTGAGAGGATTCCCACCATCAGCACACAGCTGAAGATCCTCTCCACGGTCAAGGCCACCATGTTGGGACGCACCAACATCAGCGAGGAGGAATCCGAGCAGGTCAGATCTCGTCTCTGCTCCTTTCTAAAACCCTGTTTTTAGATGAAACCGGTCTAAATGTGCGCTGGTTCTCTTGCAGGCCACAGAGATGCTGGTCCATAACGCTCAGAACCTGATGCAGTCGGTGAAGGAGACGGTGAGAGAAGCCGAGGCCGCCTCCATCAAGATCCGCATGGACGCCGGGTTCACCCTGCGCTGGGTCCGCAAGACGCCCTGGTACCAGTGAGGCAGGGGGACTTGCACTGGGGGACGCTTTGCAGTCCAGGTCCTAAATGTCAACGCAGACGTGTCGTTCACATCTGGACTCAACTATTCCGTATCAAAACTGTTGTTCTTGAATGTCGATGAGTGTCAAAGAAGGGACTTAAACTTGCTTGATTGCTTTTCTAATGATTTATTTTGTCTAAATGTGCGCTGGTTCTCTTGCAGGCCACAGAGATGCTGGTCCATAACGCTCAGAACCTGATGCAGTCGGTGAAGGAGACGGTGAGAGAAGCCGAGGCCGCCTCCATCAAGATCCGCATGGACGCCGGGTTCACCCTGCGCTGGGTCCGCAAGACGCCCTGGTACCAGTGAGGCAGGAGCCGGCGCGATATCCCAGCATGCACTGGGGGACGCTTTGCAGTCCAGGTCCTAAATGTCAACGCAGACGTGTCGTTCACATCTGGACTCAACTATTCCGTATCAAAACTGTTGTTCTTGAATGTCGATGAGTGTCAAAGAAGGGACGTAAACTTGCTTGATTGCTTTTCTAATGATTTATTTTGTTTTGATGAATCCCAGTTTAATATTTTTTTAAAGGGGAAAGTGCTGTTTTTTCAGAAAGGTCATATCTTAATTTTTTTTTTTTTTACAGAAACTGAAGCTGTTCTTTTTATATATATATATATATATATATATAATATCATACCATCAGCCTCTTTGAATGTATTATTAAATGCCACAAGCTAATATTTTGCCTTCACAAATGAAACACATGCACAGATTTTGGATTATAAAATCCTCATGATGTGCTTTTTGATGCAAAGTGTTCATCGTGCTTATAAACGGTGTGGATTCGTTCAAACATTCATTCAGGGAAGACGCTGCAAACTCAAGTACTGAAATGAAGAGGGAATCAAACTTGCGATCTGGTGCTTCCTGTCCTGTTACACACACATACTCACACACACACACACACTCACTCACACACACTCACACAACCTGATGCAGTCGGTGAAGGAGACGGTGAGAGAAGCCGAGGCCGCCTCCATCAAGATCCGCATGGACGCCGGGTTCACCCTGCGCTGGGTCCGCAAGACGCCCTGGTACCAGTGAGGCAGGAGCCGGCGCGATATCCCAGCATGCACTGGGGGACGCTTTGCAGTCCAGGTCCTAAATGTCAACGCAGACGTGTCGTTCACATCTGGACTCAACTATTCCGTATCAAAACTGTTGTTCTTGAATGTCGATGAGTGTCAAAGAAGGGACTTAAACTTGCTTGATTGCTTTTCTAATGATTTATTTTGTTTTGATGAATCCCAGTTTAATATTTTTTTAAAGGGGAAAGTGCTGTTTTTTCAGAAAGGTCATATCTTAATTTTTTTTTTTTTTACAGAAACTGAAGCTGTTCTTTTATATATATATAAAAACTGCAAACTCAAGTACTGAAATGAAGAGGGAATCAAACTTGCGATCTGGTGCTTCCTGTCCTGTTACACACACATACTCACACTCACTCACACACTCACACACACACTGTGAAACCTTACTACGTATATGAAATAACCGTTTTATAAAAGCAGTAATCCCCGTGAAGCCGTGGTTTACAGTGAATTAACCTAACAACGCCCCTTAGCTGTTATAAATTCACTGTAAACCTCGGCTTCACGGGGATTATTGCTTTATTATTACTATGTATGCCATTATTATTGTAATACATTTATTATCATTATTATTTTCCTATTGTTGAATTATTATTAATAATAAAATAAATGATTAATAATTAATAAAAATAAACTATGATAAACAACTGAACATCATTATAGGATTAATAATCTTTTATTAATTATATGAAGGCCTGCCATGACTCTGATTACATCTGTTAATAGTTGTGAAAAGTATGCGTATATGTTTAATTAGAATAATTATTCTGTAGATTTGTCTATAATCATGTGTGATGTATATTTTAAAATGAATTAATTTGTTATATATATTTTTTTATTTGTTTATTTATATATATATTATTTCATTGATTTTGAACAGTTTTATTTTAGTAGCATTGAGATACTTATTTCATATAAAAATATTTTTATATTTTATATTTTCATGTTAATTTTTTAAGTTTTACAAACACACACACACACTCTCTCACACACACACACACATACAGACACACACACACACACACTCACACACACACACTCACTCACTCACTCACTTACACACTCACACACTCACACACTCACACACTCACACACTCACACACTCACACACTCACACACTCACACAC